TATCATTTATTATGAAGTGAAATACAGGTATGTTGGCTGAAATAATCTTACACGTATTCGTTTCACTTCTGCTGATTTCTCACCCGGATTTGAATACACGACATTCCTATTGTTATTACTTGACACTGCTGTATATATTCTTTCCTCAGAATTTTTATCTCTTCCTGTCGTTAATCAAACAGGTGACCTCATGAATGATTTAATTTTTCAGGTATTACTATTACAACCCATTCAATCTTAGTGAAGTAATTATACTAATGGTTTCTGTTGGTACAAAAAGGTTCATTTTTCTCCGAATCTCTTTACATTGTTTATTATGGATATTGAAGAATACTTACTTACGTAGATGCAGTTAACTTTGTACTACACTGGACTTTTATTTTCAGTTTTTATGATGATTGAAAATTCTAGTCACTAGAATTCATTCTGTTAGAAATAAAATTCCCCTGGAATCAACCATATTGTAGTGGAAAGTCTTATCATTTGTTGAATCTAAATGAACATGTATCTATTTCAGATGATAACCTGATCCCCAGGAGAATAGAAAAGGTGGTAAGGCAAAGAAATTATATATTCCATAGCCAAAATATGTACAAAATATAGAGGTTTAAGTAAATTTACAAAGCCTTTGGATATTTCCAGGCTTTCCTATTACGGTATTGTCTACTAGTTTTGCTTGTTCACCTAGTCCACTTTTCGTATGTTGTGAAAGATATAGGGGATTTAAAACTTCTTTTGAAGGATATTAACTGTCTTTCACCATACCATAACATTAATGCTCTAACTCATCATTATGAAATGGTGAAGAAAAGGCTTAGTCAGGGTGATTTCCTAGGACTGCGTTATGATATTATATTTGAATAATTTGATTATCCAACACTTCTACTGTTCTAATGATCTAACTCATAAAGTACAATTTAAAATAAGAAATAAGCTTACACTAAATATGCAAAACTATCAATATTCCGCTATTACAAAGTTTAGTGAGATGTTAAAAACTCAGGTATTTGATATCAGTTTTCTTCATGAACTGAACCTTTGACAGATCAGTCATTCAAATTTAGGATTGCTTGCTGGGGTCGATTTTCAACTCTATTTTGAATTAACAATTGTTCCAAGACTTCGCTATGGTAGGTGAAAGATGTAAAATATTCACCTTCTATAACCCTTTATATTTAGTATAAAAATCACTGTAATGTGTGTAACTCAGTTTAATAAGTAAAATCGTCTTCTGAAGTTCTATTGGAAGTCAGGTGCTTGTTTTATATTTCCGTCACTAGGTCTACTGGATTCAGTGCAGTGTGAAATAAGTCTCGCCTAGTAGCTGTTTTCAATAATTTGTTTGACGGAGCGGTGATTATATCAATAACTTAGCATTTGGCATCCTGTTGTAACTTTGGTTTTCATTTCAGATTGAAATAGCGACTTTGTGATTACATACAATTTTGAGAAGAATATGATTATTAGTAATGCTTGGATACCTTATTTCTGAAGTTTCCTTTTTTGCCTTTAAGCTTATCAGTCCTTCTGATGTCTCAAATATTTAAACTTCAGAGTCATTTTTATTAGACCTACACTTGATGCAGTATGTAAGAAAGATACATTTTCTTCCTTGCTGTGTAATATGGGGGTTTGTGGGGATTTAGTAATTTTTCAAGTAAGTATTCACCATAGATTGACATCAGTTGGAGGAACATTGGAAACCTGGGAGTACTTAGTAGTTGTTTTGCCCTACTTAGGGACTCCTCAACGGTGCACACCCATGACCCTGTCAGGCATGGAATCCATGACCTTCAGGTTCCAAGGCCAGAACGCTGCCGTTGCACCACTCGGTTGGAATCCAGTGGCTCATATTTCCAACTTCTGGCAGGGTCATTAGTGCGTGCTACTGACGAGTTCCATACTAGGATGAAACAACCATCTAGTGCTCCTACGTTTCCAATGTTTTCCCAACTGATATCAGTTTTTTGAGGAACACCAATATGAACAAAACTGCTATCCTCCAACACTTCAGTGACGTAAAAGTGAAACATTTGACCTGATAAACTTCACAGCGTCTGTTTGATAAGCCTTCAGATTGTAATGTTAGCTTTGCTATTAAAACTACGAAGAATTAAAAAGTCTAATTTCTTGGAATTCAGAAATCGCAACAGAATCTGATGTTGTTTTCTTCTGAAAAAAATAAAACTTGAAATATTTAAGTTTAAGTGGTAATTATGAATCTTAAAACTGAAAACGATTATAAAAGATTTGTATATTAGGTTTGATGATACCCAACCAATACGAACAACAACAAGCTCAAATCACCATCAATGGGGAAACTTAAAGGAAGCAGCCTCCTTCACCTATCTAGGCAGCATCGTTTCAACTACAGGCGGTGGCACAGGCACAGACGTGAATGTCAAAACAAGGATAGGAAAGACAGTAAGACAGGTGTTCACTAACCTGAAACCAGTGTGGAGATCTACTGCACTCAGCATAAATCATGAACAACATTCGGATTTTCAACACCAATCCAGTCAAATCAGTGCTTCTATGTGATGGTTCAGAAACTTGGCTTGTCACGGAAAGCATTTCCAACAAACTACAGACATTCATCAACGGATGCCTATGTTGGCTCTATACTGAAGATGAGATGATTAGGCCAGAAAGAATAAGCAACAAGGAACTCTGGCTAGCAACGAACCAACGAAGCAAGAACCTATCGCTCAACAAATATGCAAAAGAGAGTGGAGATGGAGAAGACCATTTGGGGACATCATGCGCCATGCCAGACCATCGAGTGGAATCGAAATGGGAAACGACAAGTTGGGCGTACGAAGTGAGGGTGACATGGCGGAAGAAATGAAGCTTGTGGACGGTCATGGAGCCAGGTTCAAAAGATTACAGAAGACAGTGTAGAATGGAGACGTGCTACTTAGGCCTTATGTTCCACTAGGAACCCAAGGGACAAATAATAATAATAATAATAATAGGTTTGATAATCCAGTGTTTTTTCTTACAGACAAGGACATTTAAAATACTCCTCTGACATATATTTCAACTTATTTAACGAACTTCATAATTTCTCAATACCTGTTAATTTTATAGACTTTAATGTGCAAATACATATATTACAAAAAAGTATTCGAAATGTATGTCCCTAATTAACTTTCTCAGCATCATCTTGAAATTAGAAAAAGATAACAATCGGCGTTTCATAACAGACAAGATACATACAGATATCGTAGCTTTGTGAAATAATCACTTTTAGACAGTGAAGTAGAAATTTCTGACATTTAGAAATGTACCTTTGAATTCCGATCTAGTAACTTAATGGTAATATGCTGACTACGGGACCTAAAGTTCCTGAGATCGATCCGTGGCTGGGTGACAGGTGCGCATTGCCAAGGAGTACCATATTAGAACGAAATAGCTATCCAATGATTTTACAACTGACATCAGTGTATGATGAATACCAACCTGGAACAATTTTTTTATGGATTACAGTTTTCGATTTGTTGTACAAATTGGTTTAAGTATAAAGGTTTTCACACTTTCTTTTTAAACATTTATCATATGCTTAATTAAAACAAAACAACTAGTGTTTAAGCTAATGAGTTAATGCTTCAATGTAAGTTTATTACGATTTACAGAAAACTAGTTATACTTCGTGTGAGTTCATATTTTTGTTTATCTATTAACATGCTCAGTCATATTGTTCTTGGCTGTTACATTGCTTAGTGTTGCTTTTTTACTTTATATATGAAACATAGTTTAACAAAACATATATTGTTATAAAAGAAATAAAAAGTTGATTTTTGTTTATATAAATGAGATATCATAGTTAATTGGCGAACTGCAAACTTTTTAAACAAGTTTCTTATAAATTTCTACTATTTATCTGCCAATCAACTATCCAACTGACATATTACCCAAAGATTTTTGCATTAACTCAAAGATCTACAGGGGAAAACTAACAAGTTGACAGAAGAGGAGAGGCAGACAGCGAAAATGGGACTTCAAGTGAATGTAGAGAAGATAAAGGTGATGAAGATACCCAATTAACATCAGCACCAACAACAAGAGGCACCAATCACCATGAACGGGAGAAAACTAGAAGAAGTAGTCTCTATCATCTACCTACGTGCCTACCTAGGCAGCATCGTTTCAACTACTGGCGGTGGCACAGGCACAGACAAGAATGTCAAAACAAGGATGGGAAAGACAGCAGGACAAGCTTTCATCAATCTGAAATCAGTATGGAGATCTACTGCACTCAGCATAAGTCGTGAACAACATCCGGATTTTCAACACCAATCCAGTCAAATCAGTGCTGCTATGTGATGATTTAGAAACTTCGTGCGTCAGGAAAAGCATTTCCAACAAACTACAGAGATTCATCACGCCTCAGACCAGGCCCTCGGGTGGAATGCAAATGGGAAACGATGAGTTGAGCGTCTGAGGTGAGGGTGACATGGAGAAGATGATGCGAAGAAGAAATGGGCAGTGGTGGAGCGGGGTTGAAAAGACTGGAGAGAAGAGAGTGGAATGGAGGCGTGCTACTGAAACCCTATGTTCCACTAGGGAACAGAAGGGAAAAATAATAATAATTTTTGCATTAAATTCAGAAAAATGGTTGAAGTTAAGAAAAAGCTTTGATTGTGACGGACTTCAAACCCCTTGCACTGATATATGATACTGTAGTGTGTTATTCTATAATCTCTTGTATCTTACTGAAGAGTAGGTGGTGGTAACTATAACCAGATTAAAAGTAGTAGTATTGCACAAAATGTTGAACTGTACAGAAATGCCACTAGCTTAACTGTTTCAAGTCTAAATTTTCTGTGAGGTAACATATCTTGAAGGATCACAAATATGCATCATTATTCGTTAATCATCGTGGCTGTAAACATATTAGACAAGTTAGTTTCCATCTCTCTGGAAAGTCTGACCTATCAGTCTGCAAAGAAACGGTAAAAAAAGAATGAATAGAGAATAAGACCTAACTGTTATTTTTTTTACCATAGAAAATATAATCTAATTTTAATCTCCAGGATTTGATTCCTTTCTAAATAAACTGAATTCATCCCATCATTCTGACGTATTTGTTTGAAACCGAATGCAATACGATAAATATTATCTGTTGCACAAGTTGAATCTTCAAAGTTTCCAGTTATCCTAACAATTTTAACTTGTAATTGTAAGCCGATTTTTATAGTATCCATTTTCTATATCTCCATGAAAAAGATAAGAAGTAACATACAGCAGCATATATTTATAACATTAGGAGTTAAAAAACAAATTAAAAACGATGTAATATTTCTAGAGAACCTAGAAGACAGATTTTGCCGATGACTTGTGTCTAGTGTGGCACAAACTGGAAGATATACAGACGAAAACTGGTAAGTTGGTAGAAGAGGCAGCGAAGACGAGACCTCAAGTGAATATAGAGAAGACAGAGGTGATGAAGATACCCAACCAACAACACCAACAAACTCCAATCACCTTCAACGGGAGAAACTTAAAGGAAGTAGCTCCCTTCACTGTCTCAATTACAGGCGGCACAGACGAGGATGTCAAAGTCAGAATCGGGAAAGCAAGACAGGCACTCATTAGCCTGAAACCAGTGTGGAGATGTACTGCACTCAGCATAAAGCATGAACAACATCCGGATTTTCAACAACAACGTCAAGTCAGTGCTGCTATGTGATGATCCACAGACTTGGAGCGTTACGAAAGGGATTTCCAACAAACTACATACATTCATCAACAACTGCCTACGCTAGCTTGATACTGAAAATGTGATCAGATGGCCAGAAAGAATAATCAACAAGGAACTCTGGCTGACTGGCAACGAACTAACCAAGAACCTATCGATTAACAAATATGCAGGTGAAGGAAGTGGAGATTGATTGGGCATACACTGAGAAGGCTGACTGGTGACATCACGCGTCAGGCCAGGTCGTCGAGTGGAACCGCGATGAGAAGCGACGAGTTGGGCGTTTGAGGTGAGGGTGACATGAAGGAGATCATGCGAGGAGGAAATGAGAGCTTGTGCACAGTCGTGGAGTCAGGTTGAAACGATTTCAGAGAAGAGAGTGGAATGGAGACGTGCTACTGAGTCCCTATGTTCCACTAGGAACTCAAGGAACAAGTAATAAATAATAATAATAGTGTTGTGTTGAAATGAACATATGTAGACAAGCGGAAGAGTGTAACTATCTATTTAATCATCCACCTACACAACCTCAGTTCGTATATGAATTTTTGAAGCGGGTTTTGCTTTAGCATCCTGATATTGTTCAATTTTTGAAGGAAGGAAATGAGTAACTCCATTGATGTATCAGATTATCAATTCGTTATTATTCTTTTAAAAGTTTTACGGTTTATGTTGATATTTGTAACAGCTGAGTGCTTTTCCAACTGCCAAAATATTATGTCAATAGGATTGCTACTGCAGCGCAGCCAATGAATAACGTATTAAAATATCATTTCTGATAAAAAATATTTCATGAACTAATGAAATACGCTGCTGAACAAAATGATCAGTTAGGAGTGGATCAAGCTAATCTGTAGATGTCATTCTTCAGATCATTTTGACCTAAATTTGGATAAAAATAAATCCAAGCCATCTAGTATAGCGAGAAGAAGGTGCCTATTCCTAGTTCCTACGATTAGCTAGCACAAAATAAACATTTAAATTCAATCTATGATACCGTCAGGTTTGTACTACACAAACAGTCTATCCTTTATCAGTGATCGAATAACTTGTTCCATTAACAGTAAATTATGTCACCTTATAAAATTTAATTCCTGTTGTTCAAGAGTTGGTTGTTGTGACCTCAGGGATAACCCCTTGATATCCATAGTGTTGACTTTAAGTTGAACTCCACACATTAACATGGATGCTGGTGAACCCATATGACTGCACATAATCAATTTTGATAAGAATGAACTAAACTAATCTGTTAGGTACTGTAAATTCAACACATTCAAAGTTCTTTTGATTTCTAGCTTAGCCTGTATCTTAAAAATCTTCACCTTCATTCAAATTCTGCTAAATAATTACAGTTTAAAACAGTCGAACTGATTTCATTTTAGAAGATATGATTAATTTCATCCCCACCAACCATAAAACTGAATTCATCCAGTACTTATTGGTAACCAACTTCAAGAGGTTATCCTTGAACCTCCAATGAGAAGTCATGACCAGTGGCGTCACTGAAGTCGAACATAAGGACAGTTGCTCAACGACGGCATTGATCACGCTATATCGCGAAGTGACAGACGTAAGAAGTATGGACGATTGGATTCCGACCATGAGACTCAATGGTAACCTACTGACCACGGAACCTAAGTGCCCTGGGTTTGATTCCTAGCAGGGTTAGGGGTGCGCACTGCTGAGAAGTCTTATACTAGGACGAGACAGCTGTCGATTACTTTCGTGTTTCCAATGTTTATCGAACTAGTCTGAGTCTATGGTAAATCTCAGAATATTTGTTGTTAACAGATAAGTGAATTTAAGCGACAGAAAGGCAGCTTTTTGTGAAACAGAGAAAAAGGAGAAGCTTATTGGTCATTTCAGTAGTTGTTAAGGTGGTTTTTAAACTGATCCATTTCATCGTTAAGATTGTATGAACTGATTAAATCACTTTCACCTATAGCCTTGCATTTCTGCGATGGCAGCTAGAAATATCCACCTGAAGCATAATGTTACATGTTCTTTGTAATTTACTAGACGAACAACATAACTGTCATTTCTTGTAGTTCATTGTAATGTTCTCCTCAACTTAATTCACAGGTTAGTAGAAAAGGAACAATCAACAAGTTAGCCTGGAGTATTTCCATCCTGATATCTTACAGAAACTCTAACGAGACTTATTAGTCATGAATAATCAATGAAAAAGAATAATTTGTCGTTTTGTGAAGTGATAATGCCCCCCCATCGCAAGTTAGGAAGTAATCTAATAACCAAAGCTGCAAAACAGGAAGGATTTTATGAAGTGAGTTCACTAAAAAAGTTATTTTACTTTGCATGTTGAACTTAAACTCCCATTTTGGTACTGGATGATGATTGAAAGTGAAATGAAAATTCTAACCACTACGGGATTCGAACCAGGGACCACTGAGTTTCTGACCCGATACTCTGTCAACTGAGCTACAAGATCCAACTGCTGAACAGATTTTTATTTTACTTCGATCACCATTAATTTTCTCTGTCTACCATTGGAACTCATGATGTATTACTACGGCTTGATCGTATTCACAGCTGCTGCCCAGTCATGACTTTTCATCCAAATCGGGATCTCATTGAATTAAAGAGGGGGGGGGCATCATATTGATTATCATTTGGTTATCTATGATAGCCGTAGAAAGCTATAATAATGCGTCACGAATTCACATAGTAGTCATGCAAAAACTCGCCTTGGTGATTGAATTGAAATACAAATGTGAACTCATGAAAATGATTATCAGCATAGCAAACACCATATACGGTCATACATGGTTTACACAGTATTTATTATTAGGTTGTGTGGTCTATGTAACACTTAAAACTTACGTTGTCAGTCTTCTATTGAGTATAATATAACATGAAGAAATTTCACATCAATTTATTTGACCTTGTCTATGTCCTATAGTAGACTCACTGCAGGAAGAAAGCCTTTTGGGATCACACTGATAAAAGTACTTGAATGTATTCTACAAAAAAGTTCCAACTGGGTAAGTTGCCAACTACAAGTATCATTTCAAAAACACTTTTAAATATAGATGACGTAGTAGAATATAAATTAAGCCTGTAGATTAAAATTCACAGTATACCTTCTTAATAAGTTATCTTTGGTAAGCTAACCGTCAGGTATGTTGACTGCAGGATGAATCCTGTACCGATTACATTACACAAATTATAAGTATTTAAAACACTTAGGCTATAAGCGTTTCAACTGGGGAATCATTTGTTCACAGCTTCTTTCGTTTGTCAGCAAAGCACCATTCTACTTTAGTCGTTAAGCTTTTAGTCATTTTACTACTAGGCAATCTCTGGCATTGATTAGTAAGCACTTAGCATAAAGTCATTGATATCTATAGGATGTCAATGAAACAAAATGAAAACCCAGTGTAGTTTTAACAGTGACTCTGATATCAATTTCAGACTGCTCAATCAGTATTATGTAGCCTATATTCAAAACTTAGTGTTATTGCTTGTATTACACAGTTGTTGATTGGACAGAATTGATCAGTCTCTGTTTACATTTGGGATCGTGTGTGGATGCCCTGATATTGCCTGTCTTTTAACTATGTATAGTAATGATGGATGGTGGCTAGCAGTGGAATCCAGGATGCACATTTCGTCCTATTTGGGACTCATCAGCTAGATGTACCTGCCTCCCAGTGAGTAATGTTGTTCCAGCTGAAGAGTCCCGGATAGGACGAAATACACATCCTGGATTCCACTGCTAGCCACTGCCCATCATTACTATATATTCAAAATTATTTGTAATCTACCTCTGGTATGAATACTGGAAATAATTTAGTAGGCGTAACTATTGAAATTACATCCTCTTACTGTCTCTAGAAACAAACTTCTAATATACATGGAAAGAAATGGAGATTACCATATGTGAAACGATTCTTATCTATGAAATCTCTCCTTTGTTAAAAAAAATACTAGATCGTTAAAGGTAATTGGCAAGGCTTGTTGGTACTTTTTAGCAACGTGTACCTGTAACCTCAAGGTAGCTAAACATTCACAAAATTCGGCCTGCACTTACGACTGGTCAGCATGAAATTGGATACACTCCAGTAATCAATCACCTATTCTTTACAAAAAAAGGAAACTATAATGTAAAAATTTGAAATGTACGTTTATAACATCGAATAAGACTCATGTAAACGTCTGTCTAGATGCTGTTAGTATACGTTGAAAGTTATATCAAGTGATAAATTAATTTATTGGCAAACAATCTCTTCATTCCCATCAGCAGCCAATTATAATGGCTAGACAGAGGGTTGGCTATTGTGTTAATACAAGATTACTACGATAACTACCACTAATATTAAAAATGTTACTAATACTACTGTAGGAAACGACAAGACGGAGACGATGGAATGTTTATCAGTGACGTCTTGTTCAGTGGTTATCAAATAGTGTACATCTTCCATTAAAACAGTCATTTGCACAATATGCGTCATTTCATCTTCTGCTTCTGTCTTGATTTGCTCTTAATACGCCCACATTGTTTCTTGCGTTTCTCTGGACAGAATCTTTACCCATTCTTGGTAATTCCCTATGATTTCTGCCACCGTCCCAACATATACTACTTATATCCATTCTGATCAGCAACCATTCACTCTCCTTTACCAATAAACTATGCAAGCAAATAGATCAGTAACGGTCTTCATGTAAGTGATTTGTTTATTTTTTCATCTTTTGATCTAAGGAGTCTTTCTGAAGAAATGAGTAATATTTACAGTCGACATTTTGTCATTTATATAGTTATTATTTTTTTGCCTGACAAACGGTGGGAGAGAAAAAAACGTTTATGACCACGAAGGAAAAATATTTTGCTTTGGTTTTTCTCCTGAAGATGAGATCATTCACGCAGCCAATGTTAACTACAAAGAAACAATAAGGATTAATGGAATTTAGTTACTTTTTCATCAATCGAGGTCGTTGTTTTCATCATGCATCTGAATTCACACCTTTTGCTTGTAATATTAATGATAGATAGGGGCTAGCAGTGGCATCCAGGATGAACAGTTCGTCCTGTATGGGACTCATCAACTGGATGTACCTGCCTCTCAGCGAGTGATGTTGTTCCCATCGGGGTTCGGACTTGGGAGCGATCACTTTAAATGTCAGGGCAATATCCACTACACCACCAGGGCCACGATAGCCACTTCTTGTGCGACGGTACATCCAGCTGGCGAGTCCCAAATAGGACGAAATGTGCATCCTGGATTCCATTGCTAGCCACTGCCCATCATTAATATAATTAGAAGGCAGGCAATATCAAGGCATCCACATAGGAACCCATGTGCCAATAGAGATCCATCAATTCGGTTCAACCAACTACGGTATCATATAAAAACAATTATACTAAAACTCTACCCGTGGCACAAGAAGTGGCTACCGTGGCTCGGTGGTGTAGTGGATAACGCCCTGAAGTTTAAAGTGATCGCTCCCGAGTCTGAATCCCAGTGGGATCAACATCACTCACTGGGAGGCAGGTACATCCAGCTGACAAGTCCCAAACAGGACGGAATGCGCATACTTTTTACTTTTGTTTAAAACCAACTTTTTGTCTTCAATTATAGCTCCTTACCAGCTCACAATTACTACTTAAGATGATATTCAATTCCAGGTCTTCAAGCCTCTGAACGACTAGATTACATACTTATGCATATACTGCAAAACTAAAAAAAGGTTTCATAATATGGATCATGATATTCTAATTCAGTAACTTTAATGTCTTTACCGCGATTGAACATCGACATTGAGTGATGCATATATGAGTATGTTTGAGTGTACACTACTGACGAATGACAAACAGAATAATTATCCTTAGTCCCCTAGTTTCAATATTTATTTGATTTCAATTACTAATGAAAACAATCCTCGAATATTAACATTGTACATTGAACGTTTTACCTTACGGCTAGATTGTTTGATGAAAGCTACTGCAAAAATATTTTAATATAATTAAATTATAAAAAATAAAGGTGAAAATTTCAAATGAGCATTTCATTAAGTAACTGCTGATGCTTACAACGGAGTGAGAAAATGAAATTTTTCTTATTTGGTTTAGTCAGTTGTGATGGATAGTAGCTAGCAGTGGGATCCAGAATGCGTATTTCGTCCTATTTGTTATTGTTGTTCTCACCGGGATTCGGACTCGAGAGCGATCGTTTCAAACGCGAGAGGGTTATCCACTACACCACTGAGCCATGATCGCAGCTTCTTGTGATACGGGTATAGTTTTAGTATAAATGCTTGAATTACACCATCGTTGATTGGACCGAATTAATCGGTTTCTATTGGTATATGGACTCCTATGTGGATGCCTCAATATTACCTGTGGTATAATGATAGTAATGATGGATAGTGGCTAGCAGTGGAATTCAAGATGTGCATTTCGTCTTATTTGGAACTCGTCAGCTGTAGTTTAGTCAGATATCTGAAATTATGGCATTACTGCTCAAGAGATTTTTCACGTCAGATTTATCCACATCAGTAAATATAGTAATAGTTTCCAACAGTTTTTAGCAGTGATGAAGTTCATGGCTGTTATGAAAGTTGTGTTAGCAATGAAAAGAGTTAAATTGCTTGTAGCTAAGCTTAAAAACAGAATACCATCCTGGTTATTCAATTCCATGTCAATAATTAATTAATTCTAAATTCACAGTACAAAATAGATGCATGAACATGAAATAATCGTCTTTTAGTTGTCCTGTCATGACTTCTGTTTCCTTTCAATTCAAAACTATAGTCTATGAAATGAAACATCTCTATGCTATGTGTCAACGATACATTCAGTTAATCATTATTCTGAAAGAAAATCTTCTTAATCCTTCATGAAATATTATAATTTGTCACCATTTATGACTGGGACAAAGTAATTTACAATTCTGTCTTGAAAAGGTACAGTCTTCTGAACACTTTGAGTAGCAATTTGGGAATGTTTGGGATGCGTTTCTCACCACCCAAATGCAAATGTTCGCTCCAGGATTGGTCTTCAGCGGTGCCCCACCGAGGCTTACATTAAAGAGTCAAGTGGTTGAGTGTGTTGACCACTTCACTTACCTGGGAAGTAGGATCAACCCTGGTAGGTCAGTCGTCGATGAAATCTCTACACGAATACAAAAGGCTCGGTTGACTTTTGCTAATTTACGCCACCTATTGAGCCGCCAAGATATCCGTTTGTCTATTAAGGGTCACGTGTACTGTACATCAGTCTGGTCTGTTCTGCTGTATGGCTGTGAAACATGGCCATTGAAGGTGGAAGATATGAGAAGGCTGGCTGCAGGTGTTTGACCACCGTCGCCTTCGTAGTATACACCGTATTCCATGGTGTTACCATGTGAGTAACGCAGAAGTCAGGAGTAGAGTTTAGGGAGAAGAGCTTAATGGGTTGACGTGGTTGTGAACCTTCATCGATCGAGATGGTTAGGATACGTACTATGTATACCTAGTCTTCGATTGCCTCGTCACAAAATGTTGGCTGAAATAGGTCCTGGCTGGAAAAAGGCCCAAGGTAGCCAAACTAAAACATGGCACTAATGTTTGAAGTCTCTGACTGTTGGTTTAAGCGATGTGGGGCGATGCAGACTAAGTGGTTGGGGTCTGTGGGACAACAGTAACCAGTGATGTAAGACTCTAGGTGATATGGCTCAGAATCGATGTCAGTGGCACAGAAGTATCCCCCCACACATTATTCTCATCTTAACGACGCCATATAGAATCTTCTCGTACTTTATATTTCTTTTGACTGTATTCTCTTATCTTCATCCTTCCCCTCACTACCTTTCTACTTGATGTACTGATATGAGGTGTGGCAACTTGGACCGTTATGCAGTAATGCCTGATCCTAGGTTGATCTGGGTGGATGGATGATTAATATATGAGATTATAGTTTCCTAGGTGGCTTCGATACGATATTTGCACAATAAACAAAATTAAAACATATTTCATATCTTCAACAACAAAAAAAGACTTGAAATTATCATACGAATACCTTAGATATGAGATTTCATCGAAAAATGCCCATGTGAGTTTGCTTGGTTGACGAAATGCTCAATGCTCAATGCTTTTTTTTTCTTACACAAATCAAAAATCAATGGAATTCAAATGAAACTACGTTATCAATGGATAAAGAAAACATTTAATAGTATATTATTGTATAAAATTGAATTTTTAAGTAGTTTTTATTTATTTATGATAAATAGGTTTTTAAAAGTATACAATAAAATTATTAGGAATGATCAATAGCAAGCCAATCTATAAAGAATGGATCTGGCTTTTTTATATTAGGAAGAATAGAATGCCATTTAACATGAATTTTTGAAGGAATTTTTAACATTTCATCCCAATGTTTTACACCTTTCAATTGTAATGCTCCTAAACCAATATGAACTTCACCAAGAATTTGATTATATTTCCATTTTTCAACTTGTCGAAGTTGAAGTAGAATATAATAATCTTTGATATATTTATCATTAATTGAAAAACTGAATTTCTCATTAAAATATGGATTGATTAATTCTTTACGTGTTTGTGTTTTAGTTTTTTGAAGTACACGATTATTATACTTTAAATAGATTATAATATCTAATTGTATATTGGATAGTTTATTGTTATAAGATTCTGATTGTTTTAAATAACTGTCAATAATCAATTTTCTTGCTTCAAATAAACAGATATCAATTTTTGAATTATTAGGATAATATCCTAAACCAATACAAATTTCACCAAGACCAAAATCATTTGAACTACGAGTTAAAAGCCAATCAGTTTTCTCTAAAATTTTTCCAGCATATTCACTATGATCAATTTGTGATAATGGAATTTCTAATTTACCTAAACTTGTATCAATATAATTATCATCATAATCAAATATTTCTAAGATGATAACAGCTGTTTTTAATTGATTCAATTGAATTTTATACACAAAAGATTGATTCCAACAAGGTTTATCAGAACGATGTATAATATCTGTTTTATACTGTTTTCCTAAAGGTTTCATATGTCTACCATTGCTATGAACACCATTTACAGTTTCATTACCTTCATATTGAATTAATGAAACTGTAGCATAAGTACTTAATTTCTCTTGTCCAGAATTACATAATAAATTATTAGCTTGTATAACAGATATTTCTAATTCTTCAGCTTGTAAATTATAATTCAATGCATATTCTATTGTCCCATAGTCATGAGATGAATCACCTGATTTTTGTAGTCCAGGAATATCATCAAAAAATATAGGTTTCCCTTTTTCTTTTGTGGTTTTGCTACATACCTTCTATGCATAAATGTACGTATACATATAATCATTAATATAAGTAAAGTAATACAACCAATACATATAGACAAAAGAATGAAGATAGCTAATGGTATACTGGATACATGAAATGTTTTAGCTAGATTGACTAAAAATGGATTTGATTTCAATGGATCATCATAAATAGGGAATATTTGATTTTGATCAGTTGTAGTATTTGTAGTTGCATTCATATTGTTACATATCGTAATTCTGGTAATTTAATATAGATCCAGTTGATTAGTGTAGGGACAAGTCTATTATTGTGTAAATTAATAACTAAATTGACTTATTTCAAATGATAAATGAACTCAGAAGTAATTCAACAGTGAAGTCTTTCCATACAAAGTAAAAAAAAATTAGATTGCTAAGTCGTTTCTGATTGGTTTATTATGACTATCAATTTGATTAGTCCATTGCTATTGTTAATACCGTTGAGTGGCAAAACCTCAATACAACCTAGATGAGTGATTGAAACAGAGTTAATCACAACTCTTTATATTTGTATATCAAACTGTTTTTCTGCAAATATACTGCACACATACTTAAATTCAATGATCAAATATATTTATATGTAAAAGCTATAAGATAGTCTAACAGACATTTCTTCTGAAATATCTTATAATAATGTTGGGTATCACATTCTTTCCGAGATTCGAAACCACCTCCTTCAGTTCAAGACTGTACAATCAAGTATATCGATCAGTTGTAAACATATAGTACTTGACAGTTACGTTGGTTATCCTCTGGTGAACAATTCAGGAATATATTTTAATTAACACTTGTTGAGTTCAAGGCAGGATGTACTGTAGAATTTTAGATAACAAATAGTGTAATAGTCTTATTGCTTGTATTATATATAGAAGAAGTAGCTATCGTGGTTCGGTGATGTAGTGGATAACGCTGTCGCGTTTGAAACGATCTCTCCTGAGCACGAGTCCCGGTGGGAACAACATCACTCATTGGGAGGCAGATACATCCAGCTGATGAGTCCCGAATGGGACAAAATGCGCACCCTGGATTTCACTGCTAGCCATTATCCATTTTTACTATAAATGGTGTAATACTTCCGATTTTATTGTAATTAAGCGAAAAATACCAAAGTGAAGAGGAATACTTCTTTTCGTATAAAACTTTAAACATGCTGAGAATCAAGTAAAATTAATTGTACGGTCACTGGTGGAGTGTTGTAATGCATCATAAGATAATAACTACAGCCATCCTACTTACATTATAGTGGAATAAACTTTGTTTCGTTCCAACGTTTAATAGCCTCTGTTATGTTCAACTAAGATGCTAATTTTAGATTCAAATAAAGGTTTAAGGAAAAGAGTATGGTTAAAAGGTGGTCAAAGTGTAGTTAGGATATTTCCTGGTTTGCTGTTAAAGAATCATATCCCAAATTATTTTTAGTCTTCGTTTTTGTCAACTCGGCCTTATGCAGTTGTTTAAAATGAAGTAATGGTTTATAGGACGCTGCATTTTAGAGAAAAAAATTTGCAACGTTTATGAGGATGAAGAGACTTAACTTTATTAAGTTTCCCGATAACTTCCCATACCGTCGGAAAAGGGGAAGATAATTGTAATTATGGGGAAATAAGGAGGAAGCCTCATGGTGAAATAAAGAGATATTCGTGGGGAAATGCAACCGATTTCCCCTTTTTTATCGCTTTTCCCACTAAAAGTCGCTTTTCTATTTAGACCTTGTCCACTTTCTCCCCTTAAAGCAGCATAATTTCCCCGTAATTATCGATTTTCCTCCTTAAAGCAGCATAATTTTCGACTTTCCCCTCTTCAATCCACATAAATTCGGCTCAAATATTAAATTTTCCCAATTCAGTCTGTATAGAACACCTTTAATTTTTGGAGTAGCCCTATCATTTCCAATGTCATTTCAAATTTTAATGCATAAACTCATGAAATAGGAAAAATGTATTCCATTTATTCAATTTAACATAATTTAAATCACATTTTCAACGGAAAAATGTTTCTTTAAACATCATCTTGAAATTGTTCTTTTCGGATAGGGAAATAATCTGCGTGCGTTACTGTCAAGGTTCTACTTCTTTTGAAGCACTAATTTATCCTGAAAATGCCAAGAATAAGAATGATAAACGGCATTCATATTCAAGGTTATTAAAAAAAATTGGGTAATTGGGAAAAACTCACGATGTTTATGGTCTACATCTCATTCTGTATCCCGCTATTAGTCTTCAATGGGAATAAATATATAATTCATTAAATATAAATGCCAAGAAGAAAAATGATAAACAGCATTCATACTGAAGGTTATTTTAAAAAAAAATGTAAGTGAATTCACTTACATGATCAGCTGAACACTTCAAATCCGTCATGGTATCGAAATGCAGCATTTGCTAAGACACGGTATCATCACCAGACACTCATTTTAAACGATTCATCTATACCTTTCTGATGATAACAATTCAGATAACTGTTGATGTGAGTGATTCAAATAAATTTCTGTTTCTCTAAATGAAAGAAATTATTAGCAAGCTTATTGGGACTTATCAGCAAGGCGTATCTATAATATGAACGGAAATGATGTTACATCTAAGATTCAAGCCTATCTCACTCAGTGTTATCGTCAAAAATATTACCACTGAGCTGTTTAGACCATAAATGATATTTTGTAGGACTGGTAAAAGTCAAGAACTTCTTGGCAACTGCCTTCATCTGTCAAAGTGTATTGCAATGTTGAGTCATCTAGCCTAGTGGCTACATTACAAAATGATCAACGGAATATCGTCAGCATTTACAAACTAGAAAACATGAAATCAGTTACTCTCATGTGACTGAACAGTAAATTTAAGTTTCATTTCACTCATCCTAATTTACTAGAAAACTAGTTTACTTTGAAAAATGTTACATTTAGTTTTGAACAAAATCTATACGAATTTCTTTCACTTTCCCAGGGAGTTTAATGAATCCCTAAGAAAGTTATACGCTTATGAAATAACCCAGATTATTTTGATAAAATATTGCTAGGAACGAGAACTTGCTTTCTGATAAGCCAATTAAATTGAATTTTATGAAGAATACGTGATGTGTCAGTTAAATAAATCGGAAATTTACATGTTTGATACTTCCTAGGAGAAACGGAAACTTATCAATGCTTTCTGCTAAGTATAGAAAACGTAGTAGACAATAGCACTTGAAATGGATAGTTTTACAGTTGACTTATCTCTAGACGTCGTTCTAAAGATATAAACTACATTGATTATTATACTTACAGTAGTGGGATTCTACCGATGTCAGCTACAAAGTTATATGTTGCTAAGATCAATAAATTACACACAATCAAATCCCATTTTCAATTAAAAATTTCCATGGGTAGATATACTAAAATCTCTTAGGAAAAAGAAAAATTCATTTTGATCTAGAAACTTTTTTTGATAGTCTACGGTTCTAACTAAGTACTATTTTACCTTCAAGAATTACTTACCTTTCAGTAGCAGAAGTTAATGATTTGCGCGACAGATAATTTCAGAGTGACTTCAAACGCTACGCTAATAGCAGCTGCTTCTCAGTGAGTGATATTGTTCCCACTGGGATTCAGACTCGGGAGCGATCACTTCAAACGCTAGAGCGTTATCCACTACACCACCGAGCCACGATAGCCACTTCTTGTGCGACGAGTAGAGTTCTTAGTGTAATTGTTTTTTTTATATGATACCGTCGTTGATTGGACTGAACTGATCGATCTCTATTGGCACATGGGCTCCTCGATATTGCCTGCCTTCTAATTATATTAATGATGGATCATGGTTAGGACGAAATGCGCATCCTGGATTCCACTGCTAGCCACTGCCCATCATTAATATAACTAGAAGGCAGACAATACCGAGGCATCTACACAGGAGCCCATGTACCAATAGAGATCCATCAATTCGATCCAATCAACGATGGTATCATATAAAAAAAACAGTTATACTAAATAAAAAGAATCAGTTAGTTATTTCAATAGGTATCAGTTTGACTATCTGAGATAGCTATGATTTGACAGATTTCTATTGATATTCGGTAATGGTCGAAGGTGGAATAGAAATTCGGGTTGAAGCGGGAATCGAACAGGTGATCACCAAGTTTCTAGCTGATTGCCCTCCTGACTGAGTTATTTGACTCGACTGTTGATCAACTGATCATACGTTTTACAATAATATCCAAATAACTTTAGCTGCATAAAATTCATGCCGTTTTATTAGTCTTTGGTAGTGTGAATGTTAAACTCGAGGAATGAAGGCAATATTTTGACATTTAGATCAATATCCACTTTATTAAATGTCACTTATAATTACCTAGTTTATATCTTATTTGGATTTGGTATTCACCATGAACTGACGTCAGCTGGAGAGCCATTGGAGTACTGGACAGCAGCACGCATCCATGAACTTGCTTGGGATGGAACTCAGGACCTTCAGGTCAGCATGTTACCATTGAGCCATTGACTTGGAATCCAATGGTCTATATTTCCTACTTCTATTAGTTCAATGGTTCTCCAACTGATGTCATTTCTTTAGGAACACTATCCTGAAATCAATCAACAGATCCCTATAAACCTCCAGATTGAATTATATAGTATTTATTGCAAACTAATCATTCATAGGTCAATTGAAAGCCTTCTTGAACTCTCCTGTTTAATACAAGCAGTCAACATGAGGCCAATGTCACGTGTGCTATACTTGTATGAATTTTAATTTGATGTTACCATCTAGAATAGGAGTTCATTATTCTCAATTAATAACATAGTATCCTTGTTTTTTTGAAAGCAAATAAAATATTGTTTATAAACTGAGGCTCTTTACTTCATTGCTTACTGAAGTTGTCATGCCTCAAGGTGCAGTACTTTCTTCGTTTCCGTTTCGTTCTATTTTTACGACTTACTTTATTCTATTAAAAAAATAATTTTATTAAGTGTACTGATGACTTGACGGTTTCTATACCAGTTAACTCTCACTTAGATTGTTCCGAATTGAATAGTTCCTTGTTCAAAACTGACCAGTAGTCTCTTTAAAATCATCTCAAGTTAAACTTTTCTAAATGTCTGGCTGATAATTTAGCCTGAGATGTAAACAAGACTTGTGTGAGCTGCTTAAGTTCCTTGACTCTTGTTGCGTAGATGATACTACTGTAGAAAGTAAATCAAGTCTTAATTATCTTGGATACAGTATTACTT